TATGGTTACATTGGTAATAAGATGGTACAGGGTATTTGGTGTACTAAGATGACAATAGGCTAATGGTGTTAATGTCAATCTTATTAGGTGTTAAGATTAATGGTGATACAAGATATCACACAAGTATTGTATAGGTGATATTGGTAGCCATTGGTGTATGGTGTAATAGTACAATGGTGATACAATGGTATGTAAGGTGGTGGGATGGTGATAAGGTGGTGATAGGTGTAATGGTAAGATGGTGTTTAAGATACGATATCGTATAGGACTGGTGATATTGGTAACCATTGTGGGTATATGGTGTAATGGTGATGATGGTACTAAAGTGGTGTAAGGTAGTTAGATGGTGGTAAGGTGGTAAAATATGATGGTCAAGGTGATAAAAAATTATGTATTGATTATTGGTGTCATGATTTAAGATGAAGTAATGATTAAATTTAGGTAAATTGACCTGCTGCATTTATCAACAGCAGGTAATTCTGGTATGTCCTGTTTGGGAGTATTTGTGACACGTCCTTCATAAACTGGTCAAGTTTGTTTGTATCATGTCTTAATGTCTCACTCTCTGCTACATTTTTTGAATTTTTCCTAGTCTCTTCAAGGTGTTTCAATATCACATTGTTGGACTGAGCTGCTTCAAAATCAATAGGAGTTGGAGCTAAATTCATAACATCAGTTAAAAATCGAACCATTTCTAAATTGGAGCTCTTGATAGCGTAATAAAGGAGGGTCTCCTGGTCTTTTGTTTTAGCTTGTGCATTACAACCACGCTCTGTTAGGAAGTATAGGGCTAGCTCAAAATTACCAGCTTCACATGCTCCATGAACTGAAGTGTATCCATTATTATCAGGATCATCAGGATTATAATGACAAATATTAATGAGATACAGTACCATCTCATTACGATTGAAGAGACATGCATAATGAAGAGGAGTACGACCTGATTTGTCTCTTGGTGCAGCATTTGAATGAACATGGTGTCTCAAGTATTGGAATACTACAATGTTACCTTTTTTAGCTAGTAAGTGTAAGCAAGTGATGCCATCTTTATCTTCTGCTAAAGGATCCAGTCCATGTGTCTCAATTAGTGTTCTTACTATTCCAATATCTCCTCCCTCACATGCTGCATGAAGTAAACCACGTCCTCTATTATCCATTACATTAACACCTTGAGGATAAATACTAGATAAATAACGAAACACATCAATATGGCCATTACTGCAAGCTGTATGTAATACAATGAATCCTTCATTATCAGTAGCTGTAAGGAGATCATGATGAGTAGAACTATCAGTGACTGAGAACAGTAAAGCTTCAGCGGTATCCTTATGACCAGAGGCAGCTGCTAAGTGTAATGGTGTCTGTCCTTTCTTGTTAGTAATTAATATATTGATATCAGTAGAGCTGGTTATAAGTGATACCATTTTCTGTTGTCCTCTCATACAAGCAAAGTGTAATGGTGTATTACCATCTTTATCTTGTGCATTAATAAGTAAACTTGGTTTTATTTCTATTAAATATTCTAATATTTCAAACAGTTCATTTGCTACAGCAAAATGTAGTGGTGTATGGTCTTGATGATCAGTTGCATTAGGATTACAATAATTATTATCAATGAGATACTTCAATACATTCAAGTGACCCCTCCATACTGATATGTGAACTGCTTCATACCCTATAACATCAGTAGCTGATAGATTACACTTCTTACTAATAAGATATTTAATAACTTCTAACTGATTGAAGTACACTGCAATAAGGAATGGAGTACGACCATCTGTACTGTGAGGTAGTTCAAGTGATGATGGTATGTGTTCTATAATGTACTGGATCAAGTTCAATCTTCCATTACTACATGCTGAGTGAATAGGAGCCATTCCCTCATCATTCACAGCACACAGATCTATCTGATGATTCTCTACCAGATGTTTGAGTATAGGAAGAGAGCCACTGTGCTGACAGGTAATGTGAAGAGCTGTTGATCCATTAGAAGTCTTAGCTGCTACATTACACTGAGGAAGACTAGTGAGATAAAGTACAACAGGAACATGACCTCCTTCACATGCTTTATGAAGAACTGTGCTACCATCATCAGTGCTAGTGGCATTAACATCACACTGATACTTGTTGATCAGTTCCTGTAGACAATGTAGCTTACCTTTATAAGCAGCTGAATGAGCTAGTGTGTACTTGTTATTGTCAGTGTGATTAGTAACATCCACACTATACTCCTGACTGTACCACTCCAGTATATGAGTATGACCAGCCTGTGCTGCTGCATGTAATACTGAGAAACCAGTTTTATTAATATTGATAGGCTTAAGCTTATACTGTTGTATTAGTAATTGTACTAGATCAAGATTACCTGATAAACAGGCAAATGTGACACATGAACTGTCACGTGTACTCTTAGCATTGACATCACATTTCATATCATTTATTAGAAATGTGACCAATTGAATATTACCACTCCCACAGGCTAAATGCAATGGTATCCTACCCTCATTGCTAGTAGAGTGTAGTAAACTAATGTATTGAGGATACTGACTGGTGATATGATTGATAAAGTGAGTGTGACCTTTTAATGATGAAAAATGAATAACATTCCAACCTTTGTTATCTGTTAGGCTCAGACTACACTTATAATCCTTCATGTATAATTCCAGTAGTAAAATATCACCAGATTCAGCAGCATAATGAATTGGTAGCTTACCATTACTGTCAGCTTGATGAGGATCTAACTGATAGGTAGTTATTAATTCTTTAACAAGAGATAAGTTAAGAGACCATGAGGCATAATGTAAAGCAGTGAGGCCATTCTTATCAACTGCAGTAGGAGACAAACCTTGTTCAGTAATAAGATACTGAACTAAATCAAAGTTACCACTCCATGCAGCATGATGTACTAACGTGCATCCTTCATTATCTGTTTTATTAATATCACAATGCTGTACCTCAATGAGATATTGAGTGATATCAATATGACCATTATGACAAGAATGATGAAGACATGTCATACCATCATTATCAGTGATATTAAGATCACTGTTATGATTATTAATAAGATATTTAACAGAATTAATACTACCTGACAGGCAGGAGTAGACTAATGGTGTATGACCATCAGTATCAGTATCATTAGCATTGAGATTATACTGAGATATGATATAACTTAATACACTAGTAGAACCTGACCCGGTAGCATAATGTACTGGAGACCTACCATCATTAGTTAATGTACAATTGATATTATATTCTTCTAATGCTTTCACTAGTAATGTACTGCCACTGTCTGATGCAAAATGAAGTAATGACAGACCAACATTTATAGTGGCATTGATGTCAAAGTTAGGGCAAGTGCTAGCTTTCTTGAGAAGTGAAGAAAACATTTTAACTCTTTCATTTTGTTTAATAAAATCAATATTTGTTTTTATTCTAATATTATTAATAATACTAATAACTTGTGCATGACTTTGTGCCAAAAGCTTACTATACACAATACCAGCTGGAATATGTGCACCTGCTTCAGTTGCATAATGTAAACATGACAAACCATCATTATCATTAACTAATAATGCTTCATTACCTTGAATACTAACAATATACTCAACAACTGATGATGAACCATACCATGAAGCAATATGAAGTGGAGTCCTACCACATCGATCCTTTACATCAATGGATAATTGATATCGATTTAAAAGATACTTAAAAAGCTCAACCTTATTAACGTTATTGCTCTTAGATAAATAATGCAATACTCCAGATCCATAAAAATCAGTCGAATCTGGTGAGAAGAGGTTTAATGATTCAAGCTTGTGGACTAATGCTAACTCTCCACTTATACAAGCTAACAATGATAAAGAAGCACTAACGCAATTAATCTGAGAAGTATTACAATTTCTCTCAATGAAGAATTCCACTAGGTCAGAATGGCCCCCCATTGCTGAGTACAGTAATGCAGTGTTATTGCTATTGTCTGGTTGATCAGGAGGAACGCCACACGTGTCTACTAGATATTGTACTATAGATAAGTGGCCTTTATAAGATGCCATATGTATACTAGATACACTATTATCATCACCTTCATTAGGATCAATACCATATTGATCGATGAGTAGTTGAAGGATCTCAATGTGTCCACCATATGATGCAGAGTGTAATGGAGTCCAACCATGAAGACCACGATGATATGTGCTATAGCCAAACTTGTCAAGAAGCCATTGTACTTCATCTTTTAATCCTCTCCAAGCTGCTTCATGTAATGGTGTACTGGTATTCTCATACCATAATGGATCACATATATCTATAAATGAAGAATATTATTAGTAATACAAGTTATGTATGGAGGGATTGACTAAAGGTCAGTTCATGTACTTACCAATATCAGTGGATGAGTGCTTAACCTCTTTTATTGAGAACTGTAAAATAAATAATAATATTAAAATTGTATTTTATGACATCACAAACCTCTCTTAGATCATACTTATCTTCACCACATATTAGTTCAGTGATACCAATACTAGCTAACTGTTGCTGTAGCTTTGTAGTTAGAGGAAATAATAAAGAATAAAGATACTCAGGAATGAGGTAACCCAAACAGAGAGAGCCAACGTGAACAAAACAGAAGTAAAGATCATATTCAGGAACATCTAAACCTTTTGGTATTGCTCTACGAAAGAAGAAAAGGTCATCCAGTGTGTAGTCTTCTCTGTCAACTTTAGCAATCATTACTCGTGTACCAGGAGGAACACCTTTTACACCAAACTGTACAGCATCGGCATCTTTCAATAGTCCACCACTGTTTATAAAATAATCCTTTAACTTCTCTTCATATTCTGACCAAGTTCTCTTCAGCAAACGATTTTCAGGTAGAAATACTCCAACAAGTTTTATCATTAGTTTATAGTTGAACCATGACACGTACTTGTCTTGTAGTACAGAAAATAGTTTTGGTATTGTTTTAATGCATTCAAATTCTTCTCTAACTGCTGATTGAGCTGTTGTTTGTTGTCTCTTTTTAGGACCAAGTATTGATTTGACATGTGTTTGGAGGTAGTCAATGATTTCAGGTAAATCACTTGATTCAAAGGATTTTTTTGTAATACGAAACGCCTCATCAAATTCTTCCTGTAGATCGTGTAACTCGCTTGTCAAGTGGAAACTTTTTTCAGAAGAGCCATATCCATCAGCACCTAAAATGAATTTTTGCCGTCACTGGGTATTATAGCTACGTATGTATAAGATCATTTCCTGGCATGCAATGTAAGTGAGGACTAATTTGAATGTTAACCATTTTTATATGAATTAATAAAATTGGAAAATGGTTGATGTGCTAATTTTGGTACTTTTACATTTTTATTATGTTGTTATTACAAATAATATGAGTTGTTTGATTTTTCAGGTATTAGCATACCATGTAGCTTGAAAATTTGGTGGAGAAAACTTTGGCGCATTTGGAAAATTGAGGTGCATTTCAAAATTTTAGTCTCCAATTTTTTGTAGGAGCATGCTGCACACGGTTTAAATTTTGTCAAAATTTAACCTTCAAACCTCTTTTAGGGCCAATTCGTTAAATTCTAACACTGCAAATTTCTAGCTATACAGTATACTAGAAGAATGTAAAGTATTAAGGGGCTCCGCCTCCTAGTCACGCCTCCTAGTCACGCCCAGACGTACTTGCATAAATACTTCATTTGTAAGGACTACACTCTACTCTTACTACTATTATCACTTAAGGCTATAAAAACTATTGGAATCTCATGACTCATAAAAATGATTAATAACAACAAAATTACAAGAAAAAATTTCAAAACAATTATTTGTAAGTTGAAGACTTCCCAATCTATGGTAGCATGAAATTACTGTAGAGGATGTAGTTTTGTGATTTGTGAATACATAAAAACATAAAATTTAAATTGCAAATAATGAAATTCATGCTTGACCCATGTTAAAACTGCAGAAATTTAGTCTGCAGATGAAGTTATTTTAAGGATTTGCAAAATTATTATTCATAAAATACCGTATAGCTTGATATTTTCGTGGGTCGATATTTTCGTGGTTTACTCGTAGTGGGGCAATTCATGGTTTAATTTTTGTGGTTGACAGTTTACACAGCCTGTAAGGGGATGGCACTTCAATGATTTCATGGGTTTAAATTTCGTGGGCAGCCCATAACCACGAAAATCACGAAATTTACATTCCACGAAAATTTCAAGCTATACGGTATGGTATTGCTTACATGTTGAACTATTAGATTTTCCACTTCCAGGAGACATTGCATCATCAAAAGAAGAGATATCTCTTCTATTAGCTGATGGTGGTGATAGTAAAATGTCATTATCATTCGAGTTGTATCCTCCTACAAAAATACTCACTATCATTCCTAATTTGGTAAATATACCTGTTGAACCAGGTGACATTCCTTCATTATGAATAACATTAATAGAGACTCCCACGGTAGCTGGTAGAGGATGTTCACGAGCTATTTCATCAGCTAATGCTGGATCACCTCCTTCTTTAACAGCTACACACACTCTCCTCCAGCAGGGCCAGCCATGCAATGCATAATCATAATCTTTCTTTAGCCAGTACTCTAAAACTTTCTGCAGGCAAGAAATTGCATTTCCATGAGAGCTAGCTTCTATGATATTAATGTCAGTTATTGGACTCGCGTAGGCGGGTACTAAGCAGTTGGGTTGTCATTCTGTCATTCTGTCCACACAATTTAATTGATTTTAAAAAAAATTATCTTTTTGTTTGAGCAGTCTAGAGCTCTATTTCTTCTTCTAGCAACAGATAAAGTTGCTTTCTTTCATCTAGTTATGCTCTTGTAGCATCCCGTGGCACCAAAAGCTGTGAACTGCTAAACCAGGGGACCTCTCTCCAGGTGAGAGCTCGTGTTTCACTCTACAGGGCTGAGATTTGCTTCAGAGGTAGAAAATCCCATCTAACGAAAAACAAAAAGAACGATTTTGTCCTAACTTCGTTGTTTGTGAGTTACAGTGGCTCAAAGTTTGTGATTTAGCCTCTTTGAGAATTTTTCAGGCGGCACTGGGGAAAGCAGGAGCAACCAAACTCTCTCAGTCTCTTTTAAATATCTAGAAAAATTTTCTGTGCCAACTCTTTCTTGGAATACAGCTTCAGATGCTAAAATAAATTTTAGCTTTTCTTCTTTCTCCTACCCATGTGCCATGATTTAGCTAATTAGTTAGTTGTTGACCACACCCATAGCTTATTTTAATTATCATTATAACTATGCAGTCCATAATAATAATTTTTTTCAAATTGCTTAAAATATCAAAGTACAAGTAATACATATCACTCAAGTGAATTCCAGCAGGCGAGTCCATTGCACCATAGTGCTTCATTCTCAAACGCAATGAAATGGCGAATGACTTCCAACTAGCAGAAATAGGCTTCACTTTATCATACACTGAGTGATACTCATCAATACCTGAAATACACTTTATTAAATGTCAAATATACCCACAAACTCACTTAATTCTTTATTGCAAACGTTTACAAAAGAAGGAGAGGAAGAAGGGCTTGTAGCCATAACCGGAGTCGAAAGGAATTAAGGAATTACACACCCACGCAAAACCACCAGCCCCACCCACAATAATTCTAGTGATAAAATGGCGGCCATTCTGCAAGTAAGAAATGCATTGTTTTTTTCTTAAAGTATATTTTGTCTCTTCTCTCCATTAATAAATTATTCAGGACCTTCATACTAACCAATGACAGCAACTAATTACTGTACAGCAACTGAACCAGTAAAAGCTACTTTATTTTTATTTAATTTCATCATGACTTTATTATTAGAAATTTGATATTAGTGTAGATCAGTTGGGTACAGTATACAGTGTCGGATACTATTACTCTGATCTTCTACACTTTTCACTGCTTTCTTACAATGGACTGCCATTGAGGAGAAGGTATGGGAACCAGGAATGGTATCATTTATATGTGCTGTAATGTTATTTCATTTATAGTACGTGGAGTTTGAGTTTCTCTTTGAGACAATTATCAGGTGACGGTCATGTGATCCAGTGGCGTAGCCAGGGTTATGATGGTGGTAGGGCACACTATGGACAAGAGGGAGAGGAAGGAGTTTATAGACAAGAGAACAGTCAGAACACTATGACAGTTGGTAGGGCACAAGCATAGACTGGTAGGGCATGTGCCCCACTGTGCCCTACCCTGGCTACGCCACTGATGTGATCACGGTATCATCAAAATCAGGTGTTAGTATCAGTATCGCATTAATGTCAAATGGAATCATTGATTTGAGATTAAGAGGAGAGAATGGATCAGATGAACATGTATCAGCAGATACTCCATTGGCAATAAACACATGGAATAACATTGTATGAACATGTAGTATGATCTATAAATAGTAACATTATTAATGCTTGTAGTCTATAAATAGTAACACTATCTTTCTCTCTTGTAGTCTATCAATAGTAGCATCATTAATGGTGTTATTATTATTAATTTGTTAATTAATGGTGACACTATTGGTACTGTCAGTACTAAATATACAGCTGGTAATATATTTGAACCGTCACTGCCTCTTGGAATAGGATACAAGGAGAAGGAAGAGGTAATATATACCCTGTACTATAGCCCATGGTTTTTTCAAAAAATGGCTCCAAAATCACTCCAAATTTTTATTACATTTTTTGATACATAACGATGTCCTTATTCTGTGTAGAAAGTTTGATCTGATTCCGACTTCAG